AATGGGATGCTGAACGGGGAAGAGATTAAGCTGCAGCATTAATGTCTCCGTGGTGACGGTGATATAATAAGTAGCACAGATTTCAAATGTCCCCATAAAACGAAACAGAGAGACACGTTTCTAAAATACGACCCATGCTACTGTGAAGCTTTGATTTCTACACCGGGGAGCACAAATGTTTTCAAACACTTTTCGGACACGTATCTAATACCGTTCTCCCAACTCGCTGCTCGTACATCACTCCACGTTTTCAACCGTCAGTTTCCGACCGCTTTCCCTCTCGCACTGCCTTAGTGTCAACCAAGAATAAAGAAAGTAGGTTATCTTCCACATTCATCTCAGCGTTCGGAGAGGAAGTAGAGTATTGCGTTAACATCTGACCGTATTTCTGCATATGAAAGTCAACCCACGTAACTAGTATTGCTGTGCTGTGGAACTTTAACTAACCCAATGGTGAATGATAAGACGACTCACGTAGCCTTCGTGTGTGTGTGTGGGCGGGCGGGCGCGTGTCGTAGGGGGCGACAAAGTGCACAGAGAGGGCACTCTTTGGAAAGCAAAGCCACTGAAACATTCAAGAACATTTTTTTTAGCAAGTGTGTGTGTGTGTTTGTTTGTCTATGTGTGTGTGTGTGTGTATATATGTGTAACAGTAGTGGGGACGCAGGAGTTGTGGCCTGGGATTTTTTGGGTCGCTCTATCCCAGCTGCAGGCCTTTCAGGGACAGATCACTGCTGGCTGACTCCCATCTGCTGCTGGTCAGGCCCTGGTTCTCCTTCCATGTCATTGTGATAATGCTCAAAACTGTCATCTTCTATGTCTGGAAGACCGAGTAACTGAGGGACAAAACAAGAGACGAGTCACGTGTTAGACACAGCAGGTTAGGAAGGGCTTGTTCCTCATATAGGGCCATTTTATACATAAATCCAAATGACTTTTTCCACTCGGTTGCCCCACGTGTCTAGCATGTGTTAGTTACTTTACATTTAAATAGGAGATTTTTTTTTGGAGGTCACAAAAGTACCATACAAAAATGTAACCTTTTTAAGTTCTCCCAAAAATATCCTTACAAACGCTACGCAACATGAACTGCTTGATATTATTCCAATCCCTATAGTCAGACCAGATGTGTATTGGAAAAAAAAAAGAAGATAACAACAGCAAACGGAGGTCACTGTGTTTCTGGTAAATGTGCATTTTGTGACAGACTCACAGGTCTGAAGGATGTGAAGACCTTCTCCAGCACCTCCAGAAGAGTCTTTTTCCCACAGGAAGAGATGTAATCCTGGGCCAACTGTAGGAAGGGGAGACAGTCCTCGCTCTCGCTCCACACATGCTGTACACACAACAACAAACAACAACGCAGTTATTAACGAAACCACTAGAAAAATACACAGGACTTTTCTGTGCCTTACTTAGAAATGTAAGGATGTTATGGTCAAATTGTTTGCAGTCTTGAGAAACTCAGCCCACCTACATACTGTACACAAACCCGCAGCCCGGGGGACACAACCGTGGCCTCAAACTCCAGCCTGAAGGCCAGCGAGCCAGCACCAGGCTGTTAGTATAATTGCACTCTGTTCATGTTGGATCTAAATCAACTTCTTAGTCTTTTTTTTTTTTTTAATATGCCTCGGAACACTTATGGGAACAGTTAGATAAACACTGATCCCTGGGAAAATATATCAGAGTCATTTCACTTCAGTAGGTTTAGTGCAGTTTGATTGGAGTCTAAAGGCCACACTGTTAGATGATCTATTATGCAATTTCATTAAGGAAGTCTGGCCATGTGTGAACAATGACCTGAAGGAAGTAACTGGACATTTGTGAAACAGCTAGAAACTCCCGATGCCAATTAATGTTTGTCTACGACGTTACAAATGGTTCACGTATTGACTTCTGGAGAAGAAGGTCATGTCCGTGTAGTTCTCAGTTTGTTCATGTGGTTCTGTGTAGCTCTTTGTTGTTTTTTTTGAACAAATATATATAATATTTGACATAACAATCCAATTTAAAGTTCATATCAATGTGGCTTAGAACAAAAACTTTCCATCAATGTTCTGGCGTGATGTAAACTCCCCCACCAGGACAGTGTGAGTTCACCTGGTGTTGTGTTTTGACTATGGTGTTTCAGACATAATTTATGCCTGGCTCTGTGACTCATTCAGTTCAAGGATGGCTGCTCCAGGACAGTGGACAGTGGGCCATGCATTCTTGGCCGAAGGCACGGCCTCACATCACAGCAAAAGACTCTCGGAAGATAAGAAAGTCTTGAGGCCACATTCAAAATCCTAAAAAAGAAAAGTTCATGCTTGATACGGGATTAAAGGCGCGTGTTCTCAAAGGACTAGGAATGTCTAAAAATAAACGTGAAAAAAAAAAAAAAACAACCCTGGAAGGCATTAGAGATGAGATAATACTGACGTGGGAGCACTGTGAGCGCAGTTATCAAGTCGAGCCTGCGTTTACAGTGCCCTCTAGCGGACAAGGATAAAAAAGCAAATAACACAAGACAAAAAGGTTACATTAAGTATGTTTTTTGTCCTATAACAATCATTGCATGGTAGTTAGTAATAGCAGCAGCAGTACTACTACTACTAGTAGTACTACTACTAGTAGTAGTAGTAGTAGAAAAAAGAGGAGGAGGAGGAAACTGAGGAGTAGTAGTATTTTCAGTATTAGTATTTATATTTTAAAACAGAAATGATCTGGCTGTACTTGCATGTAAAAAAAAAAAAATTCACACAACACTCATTCAAGCAGACTTTAAAACTGTGGGGGAACTACTGTATCTCCAAGAAGCTAATGCTAGTGCTGACAAAAGATATACACAAACTCCTGACTTTCTAACTAGGAAAACCTCAAAAAAAAAAAAAAAAACCTCAAACCACTACAGTCTCTAATCTGGCAAAACCAGTATGCGTCTTACTTACTGAGAGAATTAGCAGGGACTATACATTTTAACCTCAGAATTGAGTTTTAAATTAATTTGTGGCCAGGCCTCTGGCCTACTAGTTAAAGGATTAGGATTTGACAATCTGAATCCAAGTGAGGAAAGAGCTGAAGTGTGGTGGGCCAGCATCAGATTATAGTGAAGTGCAGCCCACTCCTCCTGTTTGAAGGATGGGATCAATGCGGAGGGCACATTTGGGTGTGTGTGGATGTGTGTGTTCATGTTCTATTTAGCTTCCTACCATGTTGTAATACATTAAAAGAATGACATGTATATTATTTATAATAGTATTTTTTAATAAAACAAGATTTACAAGATATAAATATGAATTGTTCTAAATACATTCAAGAGTGCTGTCAAAGTTTTATTTTGAAAGTGACAGGCCTCTGGCTCTAACTGGGCTACAGCTGCATGGTTATGCCGTTATGGAGATGTCGCAGACAGGAGTCTGATGCACGAGATTACATTATACATAAACATATGT